TTATTTTTATTAATATGAAATATTTAAGAATTAATTTAATTAAAAATATTTTTATTTCAAATATTCCCTCTCATAATACATATAATAAAATAAATTAATAAATAAATTAAGAACTTTTTCTTCTAATTTACCTAATTTTTTTAAACTTTAGTTTTGAATTTATTTCATCTTGTTTTTTTTTTTATCTTTAACTTTCTAATATTTAATAAGTTCCAATTAAATCGAAGATAATGGAATTCAATATTTAGGAAACGCTCTGAAGAACCTTGTTAATCTTAAATAATTAAAGCTTTTATTAGAGTATCTTTTTTATTTTGATTATTAAAAATTTAAAAATAAATAATGCTCTGAAAAGAAAAAATTAAATTTAGTTTTATTTTAAACTATTAAAGAAACAATAAAAAAACATACTACGGCAATGAAAGTTAATATGGATTAACCTATTTAGGATAGGCTTTAGAAAATTTAATTAATATAGAGAATATAGAGATTAATCTGAGGTAAATTTTTTAAAAATTTAAATAAGTGATTTTTAATGATAAATTAATCAAAAAACATAAATAAATAAATAAGTTGGTTGCTTTAAAAAACAATTTTTTTTACTATTTTTTAAGAAATTATTCACACTTATGTAAATAAAAATAAAATATTTATAAATAATATGTTAAAGCGAAAATTATTTAGTAGAAAAAGAGTTACTTGCATTGTATTAAGGGTTTTCTAAATGCTTGAGTTTAAAATTTTTAAATTTGAGTTTAGTGTAAATTATTTACTTATTTACTTTAATTGGGTTGCTTTTTGCATACTAAAAAACATTCTATCTATTTTTCGTTTTTAAATTTTTTTAATATTAAAATATTTGAAGAATCTGCTACATAAATAGTAAAGGCATATCTGATTTATTCTATGCATTAGTAAGCTGTTAGTAATTATCATAATTAAATCTAAGCTTTTTGTAAATTTTTATTTATTTTTTATTTCTAAAAATATATAATCAAAATAAATAAAAAAAATGATTTTATTATAATTTAATTATATGTAATATTTAAAAAGTTAAAATAGAATAGATAATAAATTTGACTGCTTTTTTGCTTTAAAAAAGTTAAAAAATTTACAATATTTCACACTATGGTTCAAGTAATTAAAAATTTAAATAATTTATTGAATATAAAACTAACTTTTTCAAATTTCAAACTTTTTTTAATTTATTCAAAAAAATAGTTTTAAATATTAATAAATTTTATTATTAAATAAAATCAAAGTGAAAGTAAATTAAATAACGAAGTGGCAGGCAGTTTAGGTTCAGCTATTGCAGATTTACATCAACTTAAAGTTTTATAACTTATTCTTGAGTAAATTTAACTCAATATAATAAATTTATATTTATAATAATTTTTATATCAATTTTTTAATTTTTAATTATTCATTTTACATAATTAAATAATTATTAAACAAAATAAATAAATAATTAATTAAAAATATAATAATTTTATTTTTTGAAATAAATATTTTATATTAAAATAGTCGCAATAAAATTAGTTTTAAAGGAGCATCTTTTTTAGCTTCTAGCATAGCAAAATGTGTTAATCTCTAATATTTATATTTAAACTTAGAGTAATTTTATTTATCTGTTATTCTTCTTACTTGTTTATCTAAAATTATTTTTTTCTCTTTAAAAATTAATGTTATTAAAAATCTTATTAAATTCATTATCAAAATTATTTTTATTAGAATTATTTTATTTTAATCTACATTTTTATTATTTTAAAATAGTAATAATAAATTAGATAAACTAGAAAATAATGAAAGCAAATAATCTTAATAATTTGACATCATTCACTAAGATGAAAATGAAGATGAAAACGATGAATATGAAAGTGAAGATGAAAACGATGACTATGAAAGTGTGTATTATGATAAGGCTTTAAAAAATATAATTTTAAAAACTAAAAGATTAATTAGATTTGAAGTTAAATGGAATGATTAAAGTAGATATTATGATTACTGATAGATCATAAATTTTTAAGAGCTCTATAAGCTATAATAATAAATAAAAATCAATAATAATAATTTATTCAAGAAGAAATTGAAACCTAATCACTTATTTACTTAATTACTTATATTAGCATCATTATTAAAATTAATTAATGAAAAATAATTATTTTTATGTTACTTATTTAAGATTTTTACTTTTACAAACCTTATTATTAAATTTGTTGTTTTCATTTATTTATTCAAGCTAAAAAAACTATTAAATAAACATTTTATATTAATTAATCTATATTTATTATATAATAATAATATAATCAATTAAAAAAACTAGATAATAAAAACGATTAAAGTAAGGAAGATGAAAATAATTAGTTTCAATACTGTATGTATGTATGTATGTATGTATGTATGTATGTATGTATGTATGTATGTATGTATTCAAACTTCATGTGGTTGTTGAATATTCTACCAAATTAGAAAATGATTTCATAAAATATTGAGGTATATAAAAATAACTTATTGATAAAAAAGAAATAAAAAAGTGGCAATAACATTTGTTTAAAAAGAGCATCTTTTTTAGCTTCAAGCATAGCAAAATCTGTTAATCTCTGAGATTTATATAAAGCTTAAAGTAATTATATTTATCTAATCTTTACTATATTTTTCTATGCATATTTAAAATTATTTTTTAATCTTTTCAAATATATTTTATTATTTTTAATTAAAAATCATATCAATAAATTCAAGCATAATAAAAATTATTTTTAATTATTAATTTTGTATTTTAATATGCAAATACTATTTATTATTAAATAGTCATAATCAATTAGTAAACTAGATAGATACAGGTAAAAAAAAAATGAAAATATAGCTAGCTATATTACTGTATATTATGATAAAACTTTACAAAATGTAATTTTAAAAACTAAAAGATTAATAAAATTTTAATCTGATTGGGATTATTAAAGTAATTTGTATTACTGAATAGGTCATAAGTTTTTAAGGATGCTAAAAGTTTTTATAATAAATGAAAATCTAAAATAATAATATCTTCTAGAAATTGAAACTCAATCTCTTATTTACCTTTTTATGAGCATAATTATTAAAATTACTTTATGAAAAATAATAATTTTATCAAGTTACTAATTCAAGTTTTTTTTTTCAGACTTTATTATTAAATTAGTTATTTTCATTTATTTATTTATTTCAACTAAAAAGAATTTTATAATTTTTTTTTTTAATTTTTATCTATCTACATTTATTATATTTAAATAGTAAAAAATAATTAATTATATAAATCCAAAAATAATTATATAAGCTCTAAAAAAATTAAGGTAAATAAGATAAAAATAACGAAATTAACAAAGATGAAAATAGTTAGTTAGTTAGTTAGCAAATTTCTTTAAATTGTGATAAGATTTTAAAACTAAAAATTTAATAAAATCGAAAGATATTTGTGATGGATAATTAAAGAAGTTTTTATTTCAAATATTACTGAATTAAATGATTAAGGATTATAAAACTATAATAATAAATAAAAATCTAATATATTTTTGATACTTCTTTTATCACTTAATCTTCTAATAATTTTTTGTATTTTTATTAAATCCATTACATTCATAGCTTTTCTATTTTATCATGATAAATGCTGTTTCAAGTACATAAAAATAAATAAATAAATAATCTAATATTGTTTTGTAAAAAATCACTCAAGTTAAATATATGTGTGAATCTAAAGTTGAATAAATTACTTTTGACAAAAGTTTTATTATCTTGTTAGATATCAAAATATATATAGCTAGTTAATATAAGTATTATCATATTGTTTTTCAAAAATGAAAGATTATTACTTTCTGACATTCAATTATCTTTTTAATATTTTATCTATTTTCATAAATATAAAAAAGTTCTAATTTATTTATAAACATGATTAATAAATAACAAATAAAAATTTGAAACAAAATAATTAATTATTTATTAAATAGAAGAAATATTATTTATTTAGTAAATTTTAAAACAAAAATAAAATCAAGCCATCTATCTATATATCTATTATGGATAAAGAAAATATTGATTTTTCAGATGTTGAAAAATTTTTATTAACTCACTATATTAAATGTCCTACTCACAAAAGGTCTGTAATATATTTAAGACTAGATGATGAGGAAGATCCTTAAGTTATTAAATGCCAAAAATGCTTAGATGAAAAGAAATATAAATGCTTTATTGATATGATTGAATTGCTTTAAAGCGATAATCACTTTATTTTTTAGAAATGGCCTATTCATGATGATGATTAAATCTATGAAAAGCTTGAATAAATTAGTCTATGGCCATTTGCTAAATACTGCCAAGAAATAAATCTTTTATTTGATGAAATAATTGAAGCAATTTAATCAAAAAGAAAAAGTATTTTAAAAAATCTTGGATTGATTGAAGAAATAACATAAAAACCTTTAAATTTCTTTAAAGAAATATGCTAAAAGGAAAAGTTAATAGACATAATTAAAACATAATTTGGTGATTAAAAAAAACAAAATGAGATGATTTTAAATATTATCAAATAAAATCAAGAGAATTATGAAAAAAACAAAAAGTTATTAGTAGAATTAATTAATTAAGCTAATAAAAACTTATTTAGTTTAAGTAAAATTTAAAATATTAAGGAGGAAGTGTTATCATCAATAAACAAATTAAACACTTTTGATGATTTATAAGTAATAGTTGATTAGTCTAATAATATAACTATCGAAAATTATGACTAATGTAAAATTTTTTATTAAATATTAATAAATTTTGATTTAATTACTACTAATTTACTAAATAGGTTTTAAAAAAATAAAGATAACTAAAATTGAAGAATTCAATAAATATTATGATTACTAAAAAATTAAAATTGATTTTGGGTAACTAACTAATTAGCTTTTTTATCATTTATTCTCTTTTAAATTAAATTTATTTATTTATTCCTTATTAACTAAAACGAAAATATTTATTTTTGTAAAATAGAGAATAATAATTAACATTTTAAGACATTTAAACCATTTCGCAGTCGCTAAATAAATTCAAAAAAATTAATGAATTTACACTTAGGATATCGTATTTTTATTAACTTTTTATGATACATATAATACAATAAACTATAAAAATATTATTTATTAAAAATGTTTTGATATCTTTTAGTGGTATTTAAATTGGTAATGAAGAAATGTACGAAATCATCAAAGGATTATATAAGCACAAAACACTCACAAAGTTGAAACTTAAGTTTAAGTAAATCTTGCTTATATAAAATTAATAACTTGCTTTTTAAATAAATGAATTAATTAATAATTAAAAAAAAAAAGATTAAATGTATTTAAATCTGCAGGAGCTCAATATATTGCAAAATTTATAAAATAAAATAAAAATTTAGTTAAACTACATCTCAATCTAAAGTAATTTAATTTTTTTTTTTCTACATTATTTCATTTAATATAATAAATCATTTTAATTTACACTTTGAAAGTCTTGATGATATTAAGTAAGAAGGAGCTTCAAGCATAGCTGATGCAATAGAAACATGCTAAAATCTAAATAATTTGGCTCTTTATTTTTAGTAAATTTAATTTTATAACTTATTATTTTAATTTATTTAACAAACTTATCATTAATAACATTAATAAGAAGAAACTATTATGATGCTGAAGGAATCGAAAACATTGCAAGAGCGATCGAAAAACATTAAAAATTAGAAATACTAAAAATAGATTATTAGTAACAAATTCATTCTGTTTGTCTTTTAAATTTTAATTTAGTTTTTGTAAAATTTAAAATATTATTTATTATAAATATTATATAGATCAAATTATATGGAAGATGAAATAACTTAAATTATATCTAATGCTTTAGGAAAAAATAAAAATCTTACAGAGCTCGATCTTAATTTTGAGTAATTAATTATAATTTGAATCTTTTTATATTTCTACTTAATTTTTTTATATTTCAATTTGTTTAAAATTTAGATTTGTCTAAATAAATTTGATTGATATAATATTAAACCAAAATATAAATAAATAAATAAATAAATAATATATTAGTTATTTATGCGTTTTAATAATTATTATAAAATTGGTTTAGTCATAATTAAATCCAATTTAAATTTCTTTTAAAAAGAGTTTTAATAAATAACTTAAAGAATAAAAAATATATCACCAAATGATTTTAAAATCTTTATTAATTGATTTCTAAAAATTAAATATAGCTCTTGTAGTATTGAAGATGAAGGAGCTTTCTATATTGGAGATGCATTAGCTAAATTATTAAATCTTTAAATATTAAAACTATCTCTTAGGTAAATAAATAAATAATTATTTAAATTTAATTTAATATTCTGAATAAAATAACTTTTTATGAATAATTTAACTAAATTTTATTGAATACTTTCTTTCAATTTAAGTTTTTATAATTATTAAAAATTTTAGAAATAATGAAATCGGAGTTAAAGGTGCTTAAAAAATAATAAAAGATTTAGAAAATAATAGAAAAATTTAAGATCTTCATATAAACTTAAGGTAATTTTATCATAATTTAATGAATGCTTATTTAATAATATTAATTGGTGTTAAATAAAAAGCGATTCTGAAGAAATTTGCCAATTAGGTAATAGAAATTTAGTAAGAAATACATTTAATGAGTTCAAAAAAAAACTAAAACAATAAGTAAATTTATTTTTACTATTTTTTTAATATTAATTAATTATTTTTTTTTCTTTTATAGTTATAGTTGCTTCTTTGAAATAAACTTATGAAAGTTTCTCTTAAATAGAAAATTTAAATTTTAAATGTAATTGAAAAGAAAACTTGTGTTATTTAAAATAGAACTTATTCTAACAAACAATTAATTAAGCAAATTAATATATTTGTATTTCTTAACAATTTAAATCTTTAAAAAATAAAAGAAATTTTAAGTCTTATAAATATTTGTATATTAATATATATATGTGTATTGGTGTCTAATTGGTATAAATCATTCAAATTTAAGATATACGTGAATATAAAGCTGAATAAATTTTATTTTTACAAAAGTTTTATTATCTTCTTAGATATCAAAATATATATAGCTAGTTAATATAAATAAGCATTATTAGGTAGTTTTCTAAAATTCAAAAGTTAATGAAAGATTTTTACGTTCGTTCTGATATTTAATTATCTTTTTCAAATATTTGAATTGATAAAAAATTTTCCTTTTAATAATTTATCTATTACCTAATGAATAAATAAATAGAAAATTTCTAATTTATACACATGATTAATAAATAACAAATAAAAATTTGAAACCAAATAATTATTTATTAAAAATAAAGATTATTTATTTATTTAGTAAATTTTAAAACCTATCTATTTATCTATTTATCAATCTATTATGGATAAAGAAAATATTGATTTTTCAGATGTTGAAAAATTTTTATTAACTCACTATATTAAATGTCCTACTCACAAAAGGTCTGTAATATATTTAAGACTAGATGATGAGGAAGATCCTTAAGTGATTAAATGCCAAAAATGCTTAGATGAAAAGAAATATAAATGCTTTATTGATATTATCGAATTGCTTTAAAGCGATAATCACTTTATTTTTTAGAAATGGCCAATTCATGATGATGATTCAATCTATGAAAAGCTTGAATAAATTAGGCAATGGCCATTTGCTAAATACTGCCAAGAAATAAACCTTTTATTTGATGAAATAATTGAAGCAATTTAATCAAAAAGAAAAAGTATTTTAAAAAATCTTGGATTGATTGAAGAAATAACATAAAAACCTTTAAATTTCTTTAAAGAAATATGTTAAAAAGAAAAGTTAATAGACATAATTAAAACATAATTTGGTGATTAAAAAAAACAAAATGAGATGATTTTAAATATTATCAAATAAAATCAAGAGAATTATGAAAAAAACAAAAATTTATTAATAGAATTGATTAATTAAGCAAATAAAAACTTATTTGGTTTAGATAAAATTTAAAATATTAAGGAAGAAGTGTTGTCATCAATATAAAAAGTAAATAATTTTGATGATTTATAAGTAATAGTTGATTAGTCTAATAATATAACAATCGAAAATTATGACTAATGTAAAATTTTTTATTAAATATTAATAAATTATAATTTTATTATGAATTTTATTTTTAAAAAGGTTTTAAAAAAATAAAAATAACTAAAATTGAAGAATTGAATAAATATTATGATTACTAAAAAATTAAAATTGATTTTAGGTAACTAAATAACTAGCTTTTTTATCATTTATTCTTTTAAATTAAAATTATTTATTTATTTAAAAAAGAGAATAATACTTATCATTTATAGACATTTACATCATTTCGTAGTCGTTAAATAAATTCAAAAAAATTAATGAATTTTCACTAAGGATATCGTATTTTTATTAACTTTTTATGCTTCATATAATATAATAAACTATAAAAACAAACATTACTTATTTAAAATTTTTTGATATCTTTTAGTGGTAATACAATTTATAATGAAAACGTGTGCTAAATCATAAAAGGATTATTTAAGTATTAAACACTCACAAAGTTGAAACTTAAGTTTGGGTAAATTTTTCAATTTTTAGTTTATATAAAATTAATTAATTAATTATGCCTTGTTAAATGATTGAATTATTTATTTATAATTTTTTTAAAGAGATACATTTAATTATATTGGATCTGAAGGAGCTAAATGTATTGCACAATTTATAAAATAAAATAATAATTTAGTTAAACTACATCTCAATACAAAGTAATTTAATTTTTTTCTCCATTATTTCATTTAATCAAATAAACCATTCATTCTACTTTACAATCTGAAAGACTTAAAGATATTGATTAAGAAGGAGCTTCAAGCATAGCTGATGCAATAGAAGCATGCTAAAATCTTAATAATTTGACTCTTTATTTTAGGTAAGTTTAGTTTTATATTTAATTTATTTAACAGACTTATCATTAATAACATATATAAGAATAAATTTTAATTCCGCTGAAAGATTCAAAAAGATTACAAGAGCAATTGAAAAACTCTAAAAATTAGAAATACTAAAATTAGATTGTTCGTAACAAATTCTTTTTGTTTATTAAATTTTAATTTAATTTTTGTAAAATTTATAATATTACTTATTATATATATTATATAGATCAAATTATATTGGAAATGAAATAGCTAAAGTTATATCAAATTCTTTAGAAAAAAACATTAATCTTAAAGAGCTCGATCTTAATTTGGAGTAATTAATTATAATCTTAATCTAAATATATTTCTATTTAATTTGAATTTTTTTATATTTCAATTTGTTTAGAATTTAGAGTAGTCTTAATATATTTGATTGATATAATATTCTACCAAAAATATATAAATATATAAATAAATAAAAAATATATTAGTTATTAATACGTTTTACTAATTACTATAAAATTGGTTAAGTCATAATTAAATTAAATCCAATTTAAATTTCTTTTAAGAAGAGTTTTAATAAATAACTTAAAAAATAAAAAAAATTATCACCAAATCTTAATTAGTTGATTTAAAAAATTAAATTTTGATTATTAATAGCTATAGTAAAATAGAAGATGAAGGAGCTTTCTATATTGGAGATGCGTTAACTAAATTATAAAATATTTAAATATTAAAACTTTCATTAAGGTAAATAAATAAATAATTTGTTAAATTTAATTTAATATTCTTAAAAAAATAACTTTATATAAATAATTTTAATAAATACTTTCTTTCGATTTAAGTTTTTTTTATTATTAAAAATTTTAGTTGTAATCAAATTGGAGTTAAAGGTGCTTAAAAAATAATAAAAGATTTAGAAAATAATAAAAAAATTTAAGATCTTCATATAAACTTAAGGTAATTTTATCATAATTTAATTAATGCTTATTTAATAATATTAATTGGTGTTAAATAAAAAGCAATTCTAATGAAATTTGCAAATCAGGTAATAGAAATTTAGTAAGAAATACATTTAATGAGTTCAAAAAAAAACTAAAACAATAAGTAAATTTATTTTTACTATTTTTTTAATTAATTAATAAGTTTTTTATCTTTAATAGTTATAGTTGCTTCTTTGAAATAAACTTATGAAAGTTTCTCTTAAATAAAAAATTTAAATATCAAATGTAATTAAAAGAAAACTTGTGTTGTTTAAAATAGAATTTATTTAAACAAACAATTAATTAAGCAAATTAATATATTTGTATTTCTTATCACTTTAAATCTCTTAAAAATAAAAGAAGTTTTAAATATTGTAATTATTTGTATATTAATATATATAATATATATTTCTGTGTGTCTAATTTGCATAAAAATATATTTGAGCATATAAAATTCAAAACATAATAACTAATTTAACGATTGGAGAATATATTTATAGTTTGAGGTATCTATATATTAATCAATTAATTGTTATCTATTTATCAGTTTTTACCTATTTTTACAGTTTTATTTGCCATCTAATTAATATATTTATCTAACTTTCTATTTTTACAATTTTTTGATTTAGAAATGAATTTATTTAATAATAAAGAAATCTTATTTTTATAAAAATTTGGATAAGATAACAATACTATTACTATTTTTTATTTGAAAAGAGAAAATAAATAAATAAATAAATGTATAATAAATAAAAAAGTTATTTCTATTTTAAAATTAAATCAAAATAATTTATCTAAACTTGAAGATGGTTTTTGAAAACTGAAATTACAAAAATAAATATTTACTGAAGAATTTAATTTTGAGTTGGATTTTTAAAATTATTTTTTATATTTTAATAGAATCACACATATATTCAACCATATTTCAACAACTAAATCAAATCTTGATTATTTCAAATTATTATTCATGAGATAGATAGCATGAATATTTTTTAAATTAATTAATATTCTCCATTATTCTAATATATTTTAATAAACAAAATAATTAAATGAAGAAATTATGAATTAAATATTTTAATTTTGTATAATGACTTAAAGAGCAGAGACTATATGTAGATATAATTACAAAACATTAAATATGTTCTTTCTTTTATTTTTAGAATATATTTTTTAAAGCATTTATAACATACACATTTTATCCAAATTATGAAAAATATATTATCTAAATCCTTTATTAAAATAAATAAATAAATAAATATTTATTCTCAAATTTATCACAACCAACATAATATAAATTGATCAAAATCAAAAATATTTCTTTGAGATTTTTTTCATGCAGAAATTTCTTTATTCATCCAAATTTATTATTTTAGAGAGTAAATTTTAATAGCAATGAGGCAAATAATCTATAAATTTTGTAATTTTTTAATAAATCAAAGGCTTAAAATAGTAGCATTCAATATGTAAATACTTCGATTAAAAAGATATTTTGTACATTCTATCCTTTAGATCAAAATTAATATTCATCATTAAAACAAAAAATAAATTGATCAAAATGCAAAATTTTCTTTAACCATGCAAACCAAAATCCTTATTCTAAAAAACAAAATTTGGTTACAAAGAGTCAATCATCTTTTTTTTTTTTGATAAACAAAATAAATTGCGAAAATTGTTGCAATTAAATAAAAAATGTATTAATTTAGAATAGTTAATTACATAAAATATGTTTTGTCATTTTAATTATTTTAAAATGCTAAACCTTGATATGTAAATAAAAAGACTTTGTTCTCTCTTCAAACAAATTTTATTATTCTATTACCACCTTATTAAATTACATCTCTCAACCCCCTCATTTACCCTCTAAAAATTAGATGCAATTAAATTATTTTTATAAATAAATAAATAATTTATTATTGAATCAATTTTGTTTATAAAAATTTTAGAATTGAAATAATTTTGTAAATAAAAAATTTATTAATAAAAAAAAATAAAATTAAAATATCTACATAAATAAGAAAGTAAAAAATAAGAATGGAGTAATAAGAAATAGATTTTTCAGATATTGAAAAGTTTTTAGTACACCATTATAAGAAATGTCCTAATCATAAAAGGTCTATCTCTCTTTTAAAGCTGGATGATTCAAATGAACCTCAATTTTTAAAATGCCATATTTGTCAATAGTAATATAATTATAAAAGCTACATCGATATAGTTGACTTACTTTAAAGTAATCAAAATGCTATTTTTAATAGCTGGCCAATTTATGATGATGATTCTATTTACAAAGACCTGTCAGAAATTAATTAATAGTTGAATACGCTCAAACCAGAAGATATCAATACTTTATTTGATGAAATTTTATCGCAATTAAGTTAGTCCATACAAATAAAAAAGAAACAAATCCTAAATGAGCTAGAGAAAATTGATCAAATTAAACAATAACCTATCATTTTTTACAATCAAATATCTCAGAAGGAAAAATTGGTAGAAATAATTAAAACTTAATATGCAAATTAATCTGAGCAGAATAAAATGATTTAAGAAATAATAATTTAAAATCAGCTAAATTATTAATAAAATAAAAATGAACTAATTGATTTGATCAAAAAAGCAAATTATTATGTTTTCAACATAAATAAAATTGAAAACATGAAAGATTAAGTCTTATCTATAATAAACAATCTAGATATTATTAGCTTTTCTAAAAATGATGAAATATTTGATTAACCAAATGAAAAATTAAAAGCTGGAGACAAATAAAGTAAAATTTAATTAAAAAATTACATTTTTAAAAAAATAATTTGAATTATTTATTATTAAAATAGTTTTAGAAGAAATAAAAATAGATTAATTAGAAGATCTCAACAAATGCCTTGAATATAAAAAAATAGAAATCAATTTTTCGTAATTTATTTAAAATACAAATTTTAGTTATTTTTTTAAAAAGTGATATACTATCTCTTTAAATAAAATTTGATAAATTCTTGGATGATTATTTTTTCTCATCAAAAATTATAATATTTAAGTGGGCTTGCAAAAACGAAATATTAATTAATGACTGACTGACTCTAACTTTATTTATTTATTTAAAATATTTTATTTTATCAAATTAGATAATATTCTTTATTAATTAATTAATTAATGTTTTATTCATTCTTATTAATATTCTTTGAGAAAAATTTTAGATTGTGGGTTAAATTTAAATTTTTAACAAAACTAAATAGAAAAATGAATATTGACAACTAAACCGCTAATGCTATTGGAGATACCATAAATGCTTGCAGAAATATCACCAATCTTAATTTAGAATTAGAGTATTTCAATTTTATTTTATTTTTACTTAATAAATTATTTGGCTCAATAAAAAATCAAATTAATTTTATTTGAAAATAATAATTTTGAAATAAAAATATTTTTTGAAAAATAAATTTTAGACAAGCAAACATTAGAGAGGAAGAGTTTCTTAATATTTCAAAGGGACTTATAAACCACCAAAATATCTAATGCTTAAAGATAAATTTAGGGTAATTTAAAAGAAACAAACCATTTTTATTAATTTAATAATTGCACTATTTTTATAATAAATAAATGTTTAAATTTTGTATCAAAAATAGAGAAAATTAAATAGGAATTTAAGGAGTCAAAAATATAGCAAATGGTATAGAAAAATGCTAAAACATTGTTCATTTAGCTCTTAATCTATAGTAATAATTAACATATTTTTAAATAGAAAATAATGTTTATTTTTTTAATTAATAATTATTCAAGGAATAATAATATCAATAATAAAGGAACTCAATATATAGCAAGAATACTTGATAAGAATTAAAAGTTTAGTTTTCTAGAATTATAATTAGAGTAATTTAATATTTTATGCCATTTCTTTTCTTGCTTTTTTTCAAAATTATTTCAAATTATCAATTTATATTGACCATAAATAAATAAATAGTTTTTTTTAATTAATTTTTAAATTAATACTCTGTGAAAATTATTTTAAAAATTCTATTTATTTTTCTGTTAATGTGCTTATAATTGATTGATTTAAAAAATTATTTTTATATAAATTAAATAGCAATAATAGTATTAGCAAGGAAGGAGTTAAATAACTAGCAATAGCACTATATCCCTAATCTTATCTTACCACATTAAAATTATATCTAAAGTATTTTATACTTAGTTATTTATTTTATTAGAACCGATTTTAGCTTATTTTTTAAAATTTTATTTAACTATTCATTTTTTCTAAAAAGTTATAATAATATTGGCAAAGAAGGAGCTAAAATAATATCAAGAGCGATTAAATTAATATAAAATCTTACTGTATTAAATCTACAGCTATAGTATTTTTTAATTATTTTATTATTTATTTATTACTTTAAAAACAATTTATTTAATTTTTTATTTATTTATTTACCAACAAGGGGAAATTAAATTTAAGATGAAGGAGTTGTTTGCATTTCAAAAGCTATAGAATAAAATAATCAAATGGCTGAGCTAATTCTTTGCTTCAGGTAATTAAATTTTATATTATTTTATTTATCTAAACAAAATCTTTATAATTTAAAAGGAATAATAAAATTAGTGTCTAAGGAGTATAAAGTATTGCAAGTTCAATGAAGAAATTGTAAAACATTCACTATTTAGAACTTAATTTGCAGTAAAATATTTATTTTTATTTTGAGATTATTTTAATAAATTAATTAGATTTTTTTAAAATTTATTCTCACGATTTTAATTAAATATTTAAAAAATTAATATTAAAACAAATAATAGAGAAAATAGGATTAGAGATTTAGGATTTTTCTACTTATCAAAAGCAATATAAGCATATAAAAAGTTAACAACATTGAATCTTTGTTTTGGGTATAAACAATTTTATTGTTTTTTTTTTTTTTAAATACAATTTATTTATTGAAATGTTTATTCATTTTAATTTTAGAATAATTATTACTTAAAAATTTTAAATGATTTATTAGTGATAATAACATAACTAACCAAGGAGCTTTTTATATTTTAAATGCTATTGAAAATTTTAAAAACATAAATAAATTGGAGCTCTTTTTATGGTAAAAAAAATAGCTTAAAATATAAATAAAATATCGTATTTATTTAATATATTTTAGGAAAAGTGATATAGATTATGTGGTTGCCAAGAATATTGCTTCGCTATTATCAAATTTATAAAATCTTTCTCAACTAGAATTAAACTTAAAGTATTTTTAAAAATATTTTTATAATTTTTATTATTTAAATCATTTAAAAATATTTGGTTTATAAGTGAAAACAAAATTGGATTTGAAGGGGTTAAACTTATTCTAAATGAACTGGAAAAGAAAATTCAAACAATTTAAACATTGAATTTAAATTTAATGTAAATATTTTTAAATTTATTTATTTATTTGATACATTATGGGCAATTTAATAATATATTCCCTAACATTTATTTTTTTTATATTAAATCTATTTAAATAAAATAAATATAAAAAGGGAAAACAACATCAATGAATTTAAAATAAAATCTTTAAGAGAAAATTTTGATTTAATAATCAAACAAAACAATAAATAATGTAAAATTTTAATCAAAAAAATAAACAAATTATTTATTTATCAATTTAAAATAATTTAATTATATTAGGGAACGCTGATTTTTGAGATATACAAAAATTTCGTTAGCAAATAGTATGAATTTATACTCATAAACACTTTTTAAATCAGAATTTTTTAATTCAAATAATAAAGCAATCGAAAAATTATATTTTAATTAAATTGTTAATTTTTTTTTTTATAAATCTTGTTTGAAATATATTTTTTGTTAAAATAAATACTTTGCCTTAATAAATGTTGATTTAAGTTATTGGAATTATCAAAAAACATTTGTTGAAATTAAAATAAAATATATTTGTTTAAATAATAAATATAATTAATTTATTTTAAAGAGACATTTTAATTTCTCATTATAAATTAGGTAAATTTGAAAAAAAGAAAATGAGGATAACTTTTTATTAATTTTTGTTTAAATATAGTTTTCTAAATTAATTGAAAATAAATAAATAATTGTGTTAAATATTTTAGAAAAAAAGATGCTTTAAAATCAAAATTATCAAAAATACATTCATTCATTCATTATTATTGAAGTCAAATAATTTACAAAGAATTTAATTTTTATAATTTTACTTTTTAGCAATTATTTAAGAACTCGTCATTATTTAAATATGGTATTATAATATTTCATAAATTGATAAAAAGAATTTCAGAGGCTATATATAACTAGTATGATTAGAAACTGAAATAGATGGATATAGCTAATTAATATGTTTCTATTTATCAATTTATTTATTTTGGAATTAAAAAGTTATTTATTTCTTTTTAAAAATATTTATATTTAAACGATTAATATTATTTAAATATTTTTTATTTAATTATTTCAAATAAAACTAAATTTTGAGCAAATAAACAATTGTTAATTTAAATTATTTCGATAAATTTTTGATTGAGTGCATTCTTTTTTATAAACTAATTTTGAACGTTTATAAAATTAAATCCCAGTTAAAAATAAATTAAAAAGTTATCTATTAAAGAAAAGAATTATTTAAAGTAGAATAAAAAGAAAAGCATTACTAAAATAATATTAAATTAATAAATTAATCATATTTATATTTAGTTAGTTAGTTAGTTAGTTAGTTAGTTAGTTAGTTAGTTAGTTAGTTAGTCAGTCATGTTTTTGGGGTGTTTTCTCTTTATTCGCTGTTTAGGTGATCCTCTTAAGGAGTTAAGTTGTAATTTTAGTTTTATTGCTATTACTCTTTGTATTCTTAATCTTGTGGGGTTTTTATATTGTCATTTGTTGAATATCTTTTAGATTGAGGAATTTCATAAAATTTAATTATTTCTTTATAGAGTTCTTCTATATTTTTTGAATCATCGATAAATTTTTACTTAAATTTTGAAAAATCTTTAATGATCTCAAAATTAAATTCGCTATCACATTCACAAATAAATTCAAATTCATTTAACCATTTTGTTTTAATAACTGATTTTATACCACCTACTGCTACATTTACAGCTATTCCAATTCCAAGACCTTTTAATAATTAAGAAACAGAAAATCCAGTTTTGACAACTTATTTGCCAATTGTTACTGTATTTTAAGTAACTTGAGTCACAGTCCCTTTAGTTAATTCTTTTCCAGCCTAAGCAACGGCAGCTTTTGCTCCTTCTTAAAGAAAGGTTTTGCCTCCAATACTCATAAATCCTTTTATACCCTCTTTGGCAAGAGCATTATTTACAATTTTAAAAGTTTCTAAAGAAGTGTATGAAATAATCTATTTAAAACCACTAACTCCACTTATCGCAGCAGCTTTTGCAATATTTCCAATTAGATTTAAATTATTTAAAACTCCTTCACTGTGATCATCATCTCCAATCAATTTTAGAAATTAATCTATTTAGTCATTAGAGATAGATATACCTTAAGATAAAGACTCAATTATTTTTTTGATGAAACTAAACAGATGAATTTATTTCTTGATATATTCTGTATCATCAAATTCTTAAATATTTCTAAAAGAATTAGCGTTATATTCATTTATAAGTATTTTTTGAAATACCAATAAAGAACCATTTTATTACTCTTAGATAAAAAAATAATATTCTTTAAAAGCTTCATTTCCAAAAGTGAACAAGAAGTCACTAGCTTTTTCCAAAAAAGATTTCTCTTAAATTTTCTCTCTCTTAGCTAAAATATAGAGAGCTTTGTTCTTAGGTAATTTATAACCTTTTTCTTCCATTAATTTTAATAGTTTCTTTTTATTTTATAATTTGTTTCTTTATTTTATTTTTTATCTATTTTACATTTAAAAAAAACGAAATTATTAAAGACAGACACAAAGTTTTTCCTCAAAAATTCTCATAAATATATTATATTTTAAATAATTTAAATGTCTCGCTTTAATCATTCGAGCTAGAAACAATTTTTATTTAGTGTTTATTTAAACTATTTATAATAGTGATAGATAGATAGATAGATAGATAGATAGATAGATAGATAGATAGATAGATAGATAGATAGATAGATAATATATAAATAATGTCATAATATTTTTGAAATTTAATATGTTCTACTTAGAACTCATCATAAATCGTGTATATTGTAATATTAATTACGTTTTATTTAAATTATTTATAATATTGATAGATAGGTAAATATATAACTTCATAATATTTTTTAAATTTAATATTGTTTTACCAAGAATTCATCATAAATTGCATATATTCTAATATTAAAAACAATATTCTAACATTAATTACAATTAGAATTTAAGTTACAAGAATATTAATCTGAATGTTCTACTTAGAATTCATCATAAATTGCGTATATTCTAATATTAATTACAATATTCTAACATTAATTACAATTAGAATTTAAGTTACAAGAATATTAATCTGAATTTCTTAATTTATTATTGAAAATTTAGAAGAAAATCTTCTGAAAAATGTTTATTCTAAAAGAAATATTAGTGTTTTATTTAAATTATTTATAATAATGATAAATAGGTAATAAATACATAACGTCATAATATTTTTGAAATTTAATATCGTTCTACTTAGAATTCATCATAAATTACATTTATTCTAATATTAGTCACAATATTCTAATATTAATCAAAATTTAAAATTTAGTATTAGAAGGATTTTAATATGAATTTATAAATTATATATTTATAGAAGTATATTACCTTAGGGTACTGTCTTTTTTAAAGCTGCATATACGAATAATAATAAATTATACCTTGATTCCTCGTTAATAAAATTGGTCAGACCGAAATCACTAAATTTAAGCGTTTTTTTTTTATATAAACCCGAAAATAATGAAGGTATAAAAAAAAAAAATAAGTAAATCAAAAATTATGATAATAGTTAATTAGTTAAATTTCTTTAAATTATTGTAAGATTTTAAAACAAAAAGTTTAATAAAATTGAAATTTATTTGTGATGGATGATTAAAGAAGTTTGTATTTAAAATATTACTAAATTAAATGTTTCAGGATTATAAAAATAATAAAAAAAAATAAAAATCTAAAATAATAATATCTTCAAGATATTAAAACTCAATCTCTTATTTACTTAGTTATTTACTATTATTATCATCATTATTAAATCACTTTATAAAAAATTTCTTATATAATTTTTTCAAGTCTTCATAATATTAAGGACTCACCCCTCAATTGTTTAATACTAAGTTTAGTTTTATTATTATTATTATTGTTTATATTCTCAATTTTGAGGGGTTTTTATATGAAAATTACTTAAATATCTCTAAGATTCATTTTATTATTATTATTATTGTTGTTTATATTCTTAATCTTGAGGGGTTTTTATATGACGATTACTTAAATATCTCTAAGATTCATTTTATTATTATTATTATTATTGTTGTTTATATTCTTAATCTTGAGGGGTTTTTATATGACGATTACTTAAATATCTCTAAGATTCATTTTATTATTATTATTGTTGTTTATATTCTTAATCTTGAGGGGTTTTTATATTATTATTAGTTAAATATCTCTTAGATTCATCAATTTAGCAAGAATTATTTATTTCGTTTTAAAGGTTTTCTAAATTTTTCATATCATTCATACATTTTTAATTAAATTTTTCAAAATTTTCAATCAACTCAAAATTAAATTCCTTATCACATTCGCAAATAAATACAAATTCATCTAACCATTTTGTATTAATATATGATTTTAAACCACCTACTGCTACATTTATAGCTATACCTATTCCAAGACCTTTTAAAAATGAACCTAATTAAAATCCAGTTTTGACAACTTATTAGCCAATTGTTACCGTATTTTTAGTAACCTCAGTAACAGCCCCTTAAGCGAGTGCTTATCCAGACTAAGTAATGACAGCTTTTGCTCCTTCTTAAAGAAAAGCTTTGCCTCCGATACTCATAAATCCTTTTACACCCTCTTTAGCAAGAGCATTATTTACAATTTTATAAGTTTATAAAGAAGTGTATGTAATAATCTATTTAAAACTTCCAATTCCGCTTATCGTTGCAGCTTTTACAAGATGTCCTATTGCATTTAAAGCTCCTTCACTGTGATCATCTCCAATCAATTTTTTTAATTATTCTAACTCTTGAGAAATAGATCTATCTTAAGATATAGACTAAGTTATTTTTTTGATATAACTAAACAGATGAATTTATTTCTTGATTAATTCTGTTTTATCAAATTCTTCGATACCTCTAAACGAACTAGCATTATATTCATTTATAAGTATTTTTTGAAAAACCTTTAAACCGCCATTTTATTACTCTTAGATAATAAAATAATATTCTTTATAAGCTTCATTTCCAAAAGT